GTCTTCCTTCTGTTGAGTTGTATGAGCACTCTCTATATATTAGACATTAACCCCTTATCTGATATATCATTGGCAATTATGCTCTCCCATACAGTGGGTTGCCTTTCCATTTTGATGATTGTATCTTTTGCTGTGCAGAAGCTTTTGAGTTTGATGTAGTCCCATGTGTTCATTTTCTCCTTTGTTTCTGTTGCCTTAGGTGATGTATCAGTGAAAATTCTGCTGCGTATGATGTCGGAAATTTTGTTGCCTACATTATCTTCTAGAATTTTTATGAATTCATGAGTCACATTTATCCATTTTGAGTTTATTTTTGTGTATGGTGTAAGTTGATGGTCTAGTTTTATTTTATTGCATGTACCTGTCCAATTTTCCCAATACCATTTATTAAAGAGGCTCTCTTTACTCCACTGTATGCTCTTGCCACTTTTGTCAAATATTAATTGAGCATATTGCCTTGGGTCCATTTCTGGGTTCTCTATTCTGTTCCACTGAACTATATGCCTGTTCTTGTGCCAGTACCAGGCTATTTTGATTACAGTCGCTTTGTGGTATAACCTGATATCTGGTATTGTGGTCCCACCGACTTTGTCCTTCTTTTTCAAGATTGCAATTGCTCTTTGGGGTCTTTTTTGGTTCCATATGAACTTTTGAAGTATTTGTTCTAGTTCTGTGAAATACGTCATTGGTATTTTGATGAGGATTGCATTGAATCTATAGATTGCTTTGGGTAATATGGACATTTTAATGATGTTAATTCTTCCAGTTCATGAACAAGGTATGTGCTTCCACTTTTTTATATCTTCCTCTATTTCTTTTTTCAATGTCCTGTAGTTTTCTGCAAATAGGTCCTTTACTTCTTTGGTTAAGTTTATTCCTAGGTATCTTAATTTTTTTGCCGTGATGGTAAATGGGATTGTTTTTTCAGTTTCTCTCTCTGTGAGTTCATCATTGGTGTATAAGAATACCACTGATTTCTTGACATTAATTTTGTATCCTGCTACTTTGCCAAATTCATTTATTAACTCTCGTAGATTTTTGATGGAGTCTTTAGGGTTTTCTATGTATAATATTATGTCATCTGCGCCCTGGCCAGTTTGGCTCAGTGGTTAAAGCGTCGGCCTGCGGTACAGAGAGACCCAGGTTCGGTTCCCGCTAAGGGCACGTACTTCGGTTGCAGTTTGTCCCCAGCCCTGGTTGGTCGTGCGGGTGGCAGCCACTCGATGTGTCCCTTCACGTCGATGTTTCTCTCTCTCTCTCCCTTCCTCTCTCTCCCTCCCACTCTATCTGTACAAAAAATGGAAAAATATCCTCGGGTGAGGATAAAAAAAAAAAAATATATTATGTCATCTGCAAATATTGACAGTTTCACTTCCTCCTTTCCAATTTGGATCCCTTTTATTTTTTTCTTCATGTCTGATTGCTGTGGCTAAGACATCCAGTATAATTTTTAATAAGAGTGGCGAAAGTGGACATGCCTGTCTTGTTCCTGTTTTTAAGGGAAATGGTTTTAGTTTCTGCCCAATGAGTATGATGTTGGCTGTAGGTCTTTCATATATGGCGTTTATTATGTTGAGATATGATCCCTCTATTCTCACATTGCTGAGCATTTTTATCAGAAATAAATGTGGGATTTTTTTTTTCTTTTTTTGTTCAGATAGAGTGGGAGGGAGAGAGAGGAAGCGAGGGAGAGAGAGAAATAGCGATGTGAAAGGGACACATCTAGTGGCTGCCATCCACACGACCCAATCAGGGCCAGGGACAAACTGCAACCGAGGTACGTGCCCTTAGCGGGAACTGAACCCGGGTCTCTCTAGACCACGGGCCGATGCTCTAACCGCTGAGCCAATCCGGCCAGGGCATGGATGTGGGATTTTGTCGAATGCTTTTTCAGCATCTATTGATATGATCATGTGGTGTTTTGTTTTTTTTTCCTATCCTAACCTGAGGACATTTTTCCATTTTTTGTTCAGATAGAGCGGGAGGGAGAGAGAGGGAGAGAAAAATCGATGTGAAGGGACACATCGAGTGGCTGCCACCCGCACGACCAACCAGGGCCGGGGACAAACTGCAAATGAGGTACGTGCCCTTAGCGGGAACCGAACTTGGGTCTCTCTGTACCGCAGGCCGACACTCCAACCGCTGACCCAAACTGGCCAGGGCTGATCATGTGGTTTTTATTCTTCATTTTGTTTATGTGGTATATCATATTTATTGATTTGCGAATATTGTACCAGCCATGCCTCCCTGGGATGAATCCCACTTGGTCATGGTGAATAATTTTTTTGATGTATTGCTGGATCCGATTTGCTAGTATTTTGTTCAGGATTTTGGTGTCTATGTTCATCAGGGATATTGGCCTGTAGTTTTCTTTGTCTGTAGTGTCTTTTTTTTTTGGTTTTGGAATTAGAATTATGCTGGCCTCATAAAACAAGTTTGGAAGTCCTCTTTCTTCTTGAATTGTTTGAAATAGTTTGTGAAGAATGGGTGTTAGTTCTTCTTTGAATGTTCGGTAAAACTCACCCGTGAAGCCATCTGGGCCTGGACTTTTGTTTGCTGGGAGAGTCTTGATTACCTATTCAATTTTCTTAGTAGTTATTGGTCTGTTCAAGTTTTCTATCTCTTCCCCATCCAGTTTTGGGAGACTGTGTATTTCTAGAAATTTGTCCATTTCGCTTAGATTGTCAAATTTGTTGCCATATAATTGTTCATAGTAGCTCTTAATGATCTTTTGTATTTGTGTGGTGTCAGTTGTTACTTCTCCTCTTTCATTTCTGATTTTGTGCATTGGGGTTCTCTCTCTTTGTTTCTTGATGAGTCTAGCTAAGGGTCCATCAATCTTGTTTATCTTTTCGAAAAACCAGGTCTTTGTTTCATTGAACTTTTGAATTGTTTTTTTGGTCTCTATGTCATTTATTTCTGCTCTGATCTTTACTAGTTCCTTCCTTCTACTTGCTCTGGGGTTTTCTTTCAAATTCTTTAAGTTGTGAGGTTAGACAGTCAATTAAAATTTTTTCTTCTTTCTTGAGGTAGGCCTGTAGTGCTATGAACTTCCTTCTCAGAACTGCTTTTGCTGCATCCCATAGATTTAGTGTTGTTGTGTGTTCATTTCATTACTTTCCAGGAAGTTTTTAATTTCTTCCTTGATCTCCTCGGTAACCCATTCATTGTTCAGTAACATGCTATTTAGCCTCCATGTGTTCAAATGTCTTTGCATGTTTTCGTTGCAATTGATTTCTAGTTTTATGCCATTTTGATCTGAAAAGATGTTTTATATGATTTCAATCTTTTTGAACTTGTAGAGATTTAGTTTGTGTCCTATCATGTGGTCTATCTTTGAGAATGTCCCATGTGTACTTGAGAAGAATGAGAATTCTGTAGTTTTGGGGTATAATTCTCCATAGACATCTATTAAATCCACTTGGTCTAGTGCTTCATTTAGAGTCTATGTTTCCTTGCTAATTTTTTGTCTAGAGGATCTATCCAGTGGTGTCAATGGGGGGGGGGGGGGGGTTGAAGTCCCCTGCAATGATTGTATTGCTGTTAATTTCTCCTTTGAAGTCCTCCAGAAAAATTTTAATATATTTTGGTACTCTTATATTCAGTGCATATATGTTTATCAAGGTTATATCTTCCTGTTGGATAGATCCTTTTAATATTATGTAGTGACCTTCTTTGTCTCTAGTTATGGCCTTCATTTTGAAATCTATTTTGTCAGATATGAGTATTGCTACACCAGCTTTTTTTTTTTGCTTTCCATTTGCTTGGAAATTTTTTTTTCATCCCTTCACTTTCAACCTATGTGAGTCTTTTGTTGTGAGGTAGGTCTCTTATAAAGAACATATAGATGAGTCATGCATTCTTATCCAATTAGGTACTCTGTATTTTTTTTTTTTTTTAGCCTCACCCGAGGATATTTTTCCATTTTTTTTGTACAGATAGAGTGGGAGGGAGAGAGAGAGAGAGAGAAACATCGACGTGAAGGGACACATCGAGTGGCTGCCACCCGCACGACCAACCAGGGCTGGGGACAAACTGCAACCGAAGTACGTGCCCTTAGCGGGAACCGAACCCGGGTCTCTCCAGACCGCAGGCCGATGCTTTAACCGCTGAGCCAAACTGGCCAGGGCAATGCCAATAATTTAACCCAAGATTTAAAAGCCTGGTTCAGGAGGGAGGCAAGATGATTGAAGCCTAAGGAAGTTTGCTTAGGTCCACTTGCTCCAAGCACAGACTGACTTGAGGTTAGACTGCAGAACATTCAACTTGAAAATCCACCTGAAAATACTGATTGGAAATACTGCGAGCAAAGAGTGTGGCAAGGGGACAGGAGGAGACGGGAAGTGGGTGAGGGAACTCACGCAGCTCTGCAGTGTGGCTGGAATGACAGGGAGCTTGCAGCAGCACGGCTTTTGCCCCCTGGGAGTGGGGGACTCAGCCCCACTCTGAGATCCCCAAAAGAGAGCAACAGAGAAGGAAAGGGAAGTCCATGTAGCATAGTAGCACTGGACAGTGGGAATCAGAGGTGATTTGGCTCACCAGGGGACTCAGCACTATCCCAGGCTGAAAGCCAATGTGTGTTTACAACACCATCCTGGGAAGCTCCCCTGATTGTGGGAGCCGGAGAGCCCCCAAAGTGGAATGGCACGCCTGAGAGGGGTCTGAATGGATTATGCAACAGTGACTCTGAGGGGCTACATATTTGCTGACAGAACTTTGAGGGGGGCTAGCCAGAGCACCTAGGAAAAAAGACATGCCCCCCCCCCCACCTTGAGAAAAGAGGAGTCCCTGCCCTGACCTGGGGAGCAGCTCTGGGTTGGAAATCAGCATCCCAGGGGCTTGTCCTGGTGATGTTGGGAATTCAGATGTCTGGCCAGGTGGGAACCTGGGCAGAAGCCTCCCCAACCCCCAAGTGATAGCCAGCCTTGCTGAAAGATTAAAGAGCCAAGTAGGGCATTGTCTATTTTTAATTTTTTCTCCTTTTTTCCTATTCTCCCCAGCTTGGGATGGCGACCAAGGGTGACAGCAACACAGGCAGAGCTGAAGCATTGGAAGGAGAGGAAGAGACTGTTTGTTCCTCCTATAAGCTACAGGCACCAACCCTAACACACATGTTTCAATTTGTGTCCTGATACCCCATAGAGCCTTTGCCATGGGGGAAGGGAAAGTAGCCCAGAACAAATACATACATGTGGTGAGCCCCAAAGGTGACCCAGCCTCTGGGCTAGGGAAGCCCAGCTCACAGGACTACCTAGACCCACATCCTACAGGGCCTCAGCCAGGACACCTAGGACAAGGCAGGGACAGTGATTCACATTGGCCTGCACCACAGAACTGTTCAAGAGGACAGGAACCCACACTCAGGGGCCAGATCCAACAACAGCAGAGCAAAATCCAGTGAGATCCATAAATAGCAGATCCAAGGTGTTTTTGATGTTATTTTTGTGGTTGTTTTGGTATGTGTGTTTTTTAAATTTTTATTTTTCATTTAATTTTCTTCTTTTCTTTTCCCAATTTTTTCTTTCCTGATATATATATATATATTTTTATCCTCACCCGAGGACATTTTTGCATTTATCTTCAGATAGAGCAGGAAGGAGAGAGAGAGGAAGAGAGAGAGAGAAACACTGATGTGAGAGAGACACATCAACTGGGGCCAAGGACAAACAGCAACCGAGGTACATGCCCTTAGCGGGAACCTAATGCAGGACTCTCTAGTCCACAGGTCGATGCTCTAACCGCTAAGCCAAACTGGCCAGGGCATCTATTCTATATCTTATTCAATTTAGCATTATTACTTTCTAAAATTATTATTGTAATTATCATTTCAGTCATTATTTTCTACCTTTTATTTTTTATGCTTACCTTATTTCTGGTCTTTGCCTTCTTGCTTTCTTCTTCTTCTTCTTTTCTTCTTCTTCTTCTTCTTCTAATTATTATTATTATTATTTTCCCTCTCCTAACTCTTTTGGTCTTACATCTTCTAATATTCTTCTGTGTGTGTATGTGTGTGTGTGTGTGTGTGTGTGTAGTTTTTTTTTCTTTTTATCTTTTCGTTGATGCTAGTGGTTGTTTTTATTTTTATTGGAAGGAGAAGAAGAATCAGAAAAAAGAATAAAGAACCTGTTTGAAGAAATAATTACAGAAATCTTTTTTAACCTGTTGAAGGAAAAAGTCACACAGAGAATCCCAATCAAGATGAACCAAAAAGACCCACACCTGGACACATCACAATTGAAATGGTGAACATTAAAGACAAAAAAATAATCTTAAAGGTTGCAAGAGAGAGTCAGAAAGTTACCTATAAGAGAGCTCCCATCAGACTGTCAGCTGATTTCTCAATAGAAACACTGCAGGTCAGAAGGGAGTGGCATGAAGTATATAAAGTAATGAAAAGCAAGGGACTGACCCAAGACTACTCTATCCAGCAAGGCTGTCATTCAAAATTGAAGGTGAAATAAGGAACACTGCAGACAATGTAAGTCTAAAGGAATTTACTTCCTTCAAACCAGCACTGCAAGAAATGCTAAAGAGACTATTGTAAGAAGATGAAAGGAGGGGGACGACACATGTATAAATAATTAAAATGACAGCCCTGGCCAGTTTGGTCAGTGGTTAGAGCATTTTCCCACAGACTAAAGGGTCACAAGTTCAATTCCTGGTCTAGGACATAAACCTGGGTTGCAGATTTGATCCCCAGCACCAGGGTCATGCAGAAGACAGCTAATCAATGTCTCTCTTTCTCTCTGTCTTACTCTTTCTCTCCTTTACTCCTTTCCACTCTATCTAAAAGTTAATGGAAAAATACCTTGGGTAAGAATTAACAACAACAACAACAAAATTAAATACCTATGAAAAATAACCTTAAATGTAAGTGGCTTAAATACTTCAAACAAAAGACTTAGGGTAGCTGAATGGATAAGAAAACATGGTCCATATATATGCTGTGTTCAAGAGAAACACTTCAGGACAAAAGACTCACAGGATGAAAGCGAAGGGATGGAAATTTTTTTCCCAAACAAACAGAAATGAAAAAAAAGCTGGTATAGTATCCGTTACTCATATCTGATAAGATAAACTTCAAAACGAGGCCATAATAAGAGACAAAGAAGGTCATTACACAATATGAAAGGAATCAATCCAACAAGAGGATATAGCCCAGGTAAACATACAGGCATCCAATATAGGAGCACCAAGATATATATAAAAACTTCTGGAAGACTTCAAGGGATAGACTGACAGCAAAACAATTATAGTAGGGGACTGTAACACCCTACTGACATCACTGCATAGACCTTCTAAACCCAAATTAACAAGGAAAGAAAGACCCTAAATGAGACACTAGATCAGCTGCATTTAGTTGTTATTTACAGAACATTTCATCCCAAAGCTGCAGAATATATATTCTTCTCAAGTTCACACTGGACATTCTCAAAGATAGACCACATGCTAGGACACAAACTAAATCTCAACAAGTTCAAGAATATTGAAATCACATCAAACATCTTCTCTGATCACAACGGTATGAAAATAGAAATAAATTACAAAACATTCAAACACATGGAGACTAAATAGCATGTTATTAAACAATGAATAGGTTACCAATGAGATCAAGGAAGGAATAAAAAAATTTCCTGGAAACTAATGAAAATAAACACACACCAACCAAAATCTATGGGACACAGCAAAAGCAGTCTTGAGTGTTTTTTTCTTTTTTTACTCCTCACCTGAGGATATTTTTCTACTTATTATCAGATAGAGTAGGAGGGAGGGAAAGAGAGAGACAGATAGAAACATCGACATGGTAGAGCCACATCGACTGGTTGCCTCCCACACCTGACCAGGGCCAGTGAGGAATGCAACCGAGGTACGTGCCCTTGACTGGAATTGAACTCGCAACTCATTGGTCTGTGGGCCGATGCTCTAACTGCTGAGCCAAAGTGGCCAGGGCTTGAGTGGTTTTAACCTTTCAGTGTGGCTGGCTCTCGGTGGGCGAGGCTTTTGCCCAGTTTTCTCACCTGGCCAGATGTCTGAATCCCCAACTCCTCAAGGCCCTGCCACTGGGGTGCCAATGTCCAGCCCAGAGCTCTTCCAGAGGTGGAAGAAGAGATGCCTCCTCTTCCTTCAAGTTGGGGAGGAATGTGACTGTGTCTAGCCACCATCAAAGTTCTTTCAGTGAATTCTGGGCCCCTCAGATTCACTGCTGTGTGATCTGCTGAGACCCCTCCTCAGGTCTGCCGTTCTGAGATAGTGCTGAGTCCCCTGCTGTGGGTCTAATCACCTTTATTATGACTGTTTGATGCTATGTGGGCTCCCCTTCCCTTCTCTGTTGCTCTATTTTGGGGATCTCTGTGGGGGGCTGAGTCCCCCTGCTTCCAGGAGGCAGGAGATGTACTGCTGCACATTTTCTGTCTTTCCAGCTGCACTGAGCATTTGGGTATTCTCTCACCCACTTCATATCTTCTCCTGTCTCCTCTCCATGCTCCCCACTCACAGTATTTCCAATCAGCTTACTTTCAGGGATTTTTTTAAAAGTTAAATGTTATGCAGTTTAGCCCCAAGTCTGATCCTGTGCTTGGAGCAAGTGGACGGAACTTCCTTAGGCTTCAGCCATCTTTCCTCCTTCTAGCGTCATTTTAAAAATAATAAATATTATTCATTCTTCTTAGTACAAGTTACTTTAGCCCCTATGATGTAAAAGTCTGCAGCTGGAGAAACTGTTCAGAAAGATTAGTTTAAGAAGAAGAAATGAAATTCAATTTTAGATCTACATGGGCCTGCTCAGAGATGCTTCTGGAGACACTGGTACATATAAAGCAGCTGAACACAAGTGGGTGTACACCGTCTCCCTGAGATCTCCTTGTAACTGTGGTGCTTCTACTCCATCCATCCCTGCTGGCATCATTACCCAAGATATGGAGCAGAATGAGGATGGGAGATGGACATGAGATATTGAGACTTGGTCGAGTGAAGATTAGGAGGTACTTGGTATTATGGTTAGTTTGAATACAGTTAATAAACAAAGACATAACAAATCTAAGGTTTTCACTGGAAATTCCACAATTGAAAATACTAATAGTCTTGTACCACCGTGAAGTCGATTTGTTTTTTACCGCCACCTCTTCCTGGAGTCAATCTTCTAGTAAGCCAACTAACTTTTAAGCCTGCTATAAATTCACGCCTAATAGAACATTTCTTTTCTGCAAAGGGAAATAAAACCATTCAGTCCATGAGTTGATAGAAAAGTGAATTGGAGTTTGACATTCATGTGAAGTACAAATAAAGTCATAAAATTAATGTTTGGTAAGAGACTGGCCTTTATGACAGTATATAAGAAAATTCAGCAATAATAAATTTGCTCAAAGGATAAACTATTTTTTTCTACCTGAAGTCCATCTGGCTGTCATCTTGAAGTAAATATTTATTAAGGGAATAAAATAAAAGCACTTTAAACCCACTAAAGAAATGTGTTTAAGTATATATGATGACAAAAATATAATAACAGATGATGAGATGAACCAGATTTTTAAAATGCTAGAATAAATCACATTCTTCAGGAAGAATGTGTGAAGAATATGTGTTTGGCATCTAGTGCACAGTTCTTCTTCAGTCAAGATGTGAAGTCAGCAGAGGACGAGATGACCTGGCTTTGGAAATGAGAACTCTGCAGCTGCTTCTGAAGAACCTCAATCAATTATCACCATGCCCAACTGGATGATGTGTTAGAAGTTCTCTGTGCAGGTGCCCCTGCATGCCTTCTCCAGGGCAACATCCTCTCTCACATTGTCCATGGCAGTGCTCCAAGTCAGTCACCTTACCCACCCGGCATAAGTGCCATCACCAAGAAACCGAGATACAAAATGAGATAACCACCGAGGTGTTTCAGAACAAGATGAGGCCCTGTGCCAGCCTGATCTTGCGCTTCCTTCCTGCACACAGCTCTGCCTCCTGGTGGTGCCAGTGGAACAGAACTGGTTGTCCTGGCACTCCTGGAACTGGCCCTGCCATCCGTGGACAGGAGGCTCTCAGCACCAGCTTCTTCCTCAGGACCTCCCATCTTAGCATCTCAGCAGTCTTTTCCCTTGACTCTCTTCGAAGCCAATCAAGGACAATTTTTCTCTTCTCCCGAGCACCATGGGTAATTCAGCTGTGGTGAGGAGGACTGTGTGCTGGAAGCAGGAAGGGCTGTTGTGAGTCATGTGCTCCTGGGCACCTGGAACGGGACCAAATAGGCCATGGTTTCAAATGGAACAGGATGTACAATCATCTGGAAGAAATTTTTCTACAGAAAACTACCAGAAAAAATGTTCAATAAGAGCTGTTTATGAGTATGTGCTGGTAATTTTTTCTGTTAATATAGCTCCCTCCCTTATATGCTAAATTCCTAGCATCCACAGGACCCACTGGTTCTCCCTCAGAGTCAACCCTTTTCCATAACGTACCCCCTGCTCTAATTCAGGCCTTAGTCTCTCTCCCCTCTGCTATGAGAAGGTCTCGTGCTTTCAGTCTCATTCCCTTCCCAAAGACGGCCACACATCACATGCCATTCCTTTGTTGACCTCTGGCAGTTTCTTGTTGTCCATTAGGGTCAGGCCTTTAAGGCTCTGGTCACCCAGCTCCATTTCCCTCTGTGGCCTTGTCTCCCATGGCTCTCCCTGCACGGGATCCTACCTGGCTGCACACCTGGCATTCCCTCCTAAACGTGCCTTTCTGCCCCCCTTCTCTGCCTAGAACATGCTCCATCCTCTCTGACTCTCAGAAATCTCAGAGGCCCAGTGGAATGCTGTCTCTCCTGGGAGGTCTCTCGACCCAGCAACCACACTTCTCTGTGCTTGCACCTTGGTTTTGTCAACTTCTGTCATCGAAACTTTTAGAGTTTCTGAGAACCACAGTTTTTGAACCCAAACCCACAGTCTGGATAGTCCAGTGGGAGGCTGCTGTTCTGGAGAGTCTGAGATGTTAGCCCCCATGACTGGCCGCATGTCAGTTATCTGGGAGCTTTGGACGGCAGGATGCCGGCACCTGGCTCCACAGTCATGACACAGTAGCTGCTCATGAAAAGCTGGCTGTGTTAAACCAGCCGCAAGGGGCTGGTTTTTAAAACATGAAACATTATGGGTAAATATATTTTCCTCCCTCCCCAGGAGATCTAGCTTCTGGATCTAGTTAAAACTATTATACTAGTCAACAATTTGGTTATATGAGCCAGTAACCAACTTCCCTCGCCCTGTTTTGTTTCATATTTTTTTCCAGTTCTGTTCATTTGTCTGGAAAGGAAAAGTGGTTTAAAAACCCTTTTCTCATAATTTAAAATTTCATGTACTGGTAGCACGTCATATCATTGATATTGTTGTAATAACCGAGGTATTAAAAACAGGGAAGGAGCAAAGGGAAGCTGAGGTTTAGACGCATGCCCAATGTGGTCTGGGTGACAGAGGAGAGGTGCTTGCCTGTCAGTCACACCGGGGAACAGGTCATTGGCCAGAGTAGGTGTGGTCACTGCAAGCACGGGAAGATTTGAGATACATAAGCTCATAAACAAAGGAATTCTATTCTCTCTTGGTTACCTCTCTTGTTGCAGGGGGTGTGCTCCCTTGCATTTGCCCACATGGCTCATGGTGATGTGAACCCCGCACAATGGACTGATGGACTACAACTCATCTGATGCCGTGCTGGACGCAACTCCACAATGGCATGGAAACTTTGGACACTGGCCTTGCTTTTAACTCTGCTGAATCCCCACCTATACTTCTTCCAGGACTGGTTTAAGGGAAATGGGACTTTGGAACCCAAGGATATAATTCCATGCAAATAAAGCTTTCTACCTCACCTCATTCTCCCATGGTGACCTCGGGAAATGCCTATTCCAGTGACACCCCAAGAACTCTACTCTCACTAGCAATGGAGAAAGGCAATCCATAAAATTCTCTGATAAACAATTAGAGCATTAAGGAAATAAGTGGATACTCATTAAGAAGTTCTGCCAATAAAGGGGGAAATTAATTTAATGCATAAATACTTTAAAAAATACATCCTTTTACTCAGTACTCCAACACACATGTTAGTATTTTATATTCATTTCAGATCATTTTTTAATTAATTAATTTTTGTTATAGATGTTTCTCCTTTTCCCACCATTGACACCCTCCTCCCTACTCCCATCCCTACCTCAATCATTATTTTTTTTTTTTTTAAAGAAACATTATAAATAAATATATTCTTCTCTTTCCCCAGAAGAAATTTCTTCTGGTGAATTCCTTTTCTGTCTAAACAATTTTAAATTGATTTTCTGTCACTTGCAACTGAAAGAGTTTTTACTAATAAATATGCCTTTTATCGCACTTAGGACAGAGAACTTCAAAGATGACAACTGCTTGTATTTCTTTCTCTGATTGTGTTGACAAATTGGTGCATAGTAAATATTCAGTAACAGCAACAACTGTTGTTTAACCTTATGCCAAGTCACATGGTCAAAGCAACTAAATATTTCGGAGTTCTTACTTAAAAAAAATAAACTATTCCAAGTGGAAAGATAAGAATGTCTTCTATGATAGCAGGGCATTTTTTGTTTGTTTGTTTCTTTGATTTTCACAGTTAAGTTTCTAGAGATGAAAAGTTCTAGCGATGATGTTTGTACAACATTGTGAATATACTTAATGCCACTAAGTTGTACACTTTAAAATGGTATGTTTTGTTTTGTATATTTTACCATCACAACAAAAAAGGAATTATTCCTAAAGCAAAAAAGTAAAAAACAATATTTCTGTCACCAAAAGTGTATGCAGCAATAGAAAAAAATAGATAAATTGGATTTTATCAAAATTAAAAATTTTGTGCATCAAAGGATACTATCAAGAAAATGAGAAGGCAAATCACTGAATGAGAGAAAATATTTGAAAATCATAGTTCTGACAAAAGATTAATATCCAGAATATATAAAAAACTCCTATAATTGAACAACAAAACCAAACAACCAAATTTACAAATGGGCAAAGAACCTGAATAGACACTTCTCCCAAAAAGATAAGCAAATGATCAATCAGCACATGAAAAGATGCTCAACATCACTAGTCTTTAGGGAAATGGAAATCAAAACCACAATGAGATACCATTTCACATACATTAGAATAGCTATTATAAAAAACCAAAACCAAAAATTCAAACAAAATACCAAGCATGGTTGTCGGGGAGGATGTGGAGAAATTGGAACCCTTGTGCATTATTGGCAGGCATGTAGAATGGTGCATCTGCTGTGGGATACAGTGTGGCGGTTCCTCAAATTGTTAAAATATAATTTTCATGTGACTAGTAATTCTATCTCTAGATATATACTCAAAAGAATTGAAAGCAGGGACTTAAACAGATATTTTATGACAATGTTTATGTCAGCATTATTCATAATAGCTGAGAGGTGAAAGCAACCCAGGAGTCTATCGATGGATAATGGGTAAACAAAATGTCATACATACATACAATGAATATTATTCAGTCTTAAAAGGGAAGAAAATTCTGACACAGGCTACAACATGGATGAACCTTGAAGACATCATGCCAAGTAGATAAGCAAGATACAAAGGGACAAATATTGTATGATTCAGTTATATGAGGGATCTAGAGTATTCAGATTCATGGAGACAAAGTAGAGTGGTGATTGCCAGGGGTTGTGGGTGGAGTGGGGAAACCAGGGAGTTATTGTTTGATGGGTACAAAGTTTCTAGCAATGAAAATTTCTAGCGATGATGTTTGTACAACATTGTGAATGTACTTAATGCCACTAAGTTGTACACTTTAAAATGGTATATTTTGTTTTGTATATTTTATCACCACAACAAAAAAGAAATGATTCTTAAAGCAAATCTATAGAGACAGATAGTAGATTAATGGTTGTTCTCTTGGAGACCATGTGCAAGGTAATCTCCGAGATGGAGGCCAAATGGACCTCCCTGGC